CTCCCATCCATGTGGAGACTCCCTCCTTCAAGACAGTGATGACAAATCCTGATGTGGAGGCAACTTGTTTCATCCATAATGTAGGTGATGTCATGCTGACCTGGCTGATGGATGATAGAGAACCGCTTAAAGACAAAGTCGTGCAAAAGACAAATGCGACTTCTACAATCAGCACTCTGACAGTAGCATCAAGTGTCTGGAAAACCCTGGATATTCTGAAATGTAAAGCTAAGCATCCCTGCATCTCTGATGAGAAGACCGTAAAAGTGTCAGGTAAAAGAGTAGGGCTCTAGAAAAATGTTTAAAGGATTCATTTATTGAACAAAAATATATTTATACATCTGTTTGTGGCAATGTCCGTTTCACTTTCTGCTGTTACCATCCAGGTCCTACAGTTAAAACTCCACAGATGAAGCTCAGGAGATCCCTCTCAGACCTGCTGAAGCCAGACGATTTCGTCCTTCAGTGTGACATCACACAGCTCTCTTCACAGGACCTTTATGTCACGTTTCAGGCTGAAGGAAATGATATTTCTGAGAAGATGTTCGTTGACCTTCCTGAAGGCCTGGACCAACATTCAGTCACTAGAAGTTTCTCTGTGCCTAACGAATCCAGGAGCAGCTCAAGATTCACCTGCTCAGTGACTCAAGGCTTCTCCAGCACATATTTTAGGTCTAATGAAATCAGCATTGTTTACGGTGAGAAATGACTTCAAGTCTGTTTGGGCTGAATGTTGGCTTCACTGATCAAAAATGTTGTCTTCTTTTATCCAATATTTAGTGTCCCCTTCAGTAGAACTTGTTGTGGTCCCTGGTGAAGAATCAGGACGGCAGAGGCTCTTGTGTTCTGGATGGGGCTTCAACCCACAGATTAAGTGGCTCAGTGGGTCACAGCAACTCTCTCCATTACGCAGTGAAACCAGCATGGATACAAATGGACGAGTAGCTGTAACAAGTCAACTGACAGTTCCTCAGAAAGAGTGGAAGACAGGAAAGGTCTTCACTTGTGAAGTGTCAGACGGGTCTCTGAATAAAATCAACAAGCACATCAGTGTCTGCTCAGGTAAAGCTCCGGCAAAACAAACATTGTTCACTCATAAGTCAGACAAAATTAAAAACTAAATCTCAGTTTCCATTTCATTCTGGGAAATCTCAATAAATGAGAACGGGCCCCAGTTTCCAGGACAAGGAAACGCATACGCACCTGTTAGCTTAGCACGCCAACCTAGCTTGATTGCTAACTCCCCCTGTATTAAATAATGTCAACCTTTGAACTTAAAGCTAACTGTAGAAGAGGAGGGAGGAGAACTGAAAAAAAAAAGTCTTTTGCGTATTGGAGCTGATTAGCATTCGATGTTGTGCCACTTCAGCAAAATGTAGCAAAACATTTAGATGTTCCCCGCTCAAACGCTGCAAATTTGCTTAAAAGAGTGATTAGAACCAGATAAAGGCTAAGGAGATTATTCAGTTGTTAGAATCAGGTGTGTCTGAGCAGGAACATATTAAAAACATTACAGGTCCTTCTCAAAAAATTAGCATATTGTGATAAAGTTCATTATCGTCTGTAATGTACTGATAAACATTAGACTTTCATAAATATTAGATTCATTACACACAACTGAAGTAGTTTAAGCCTTTTATTGTTTCTAATATTGATGATTTTGGCATACAGCTCATGAAAACCCAACATTCCTATCTAAAAAAACTAGCATATTTCATCTGACCAATAAAAGAAAAGTGTTTTTAATACAAAAAAAGTCAACCTTCAAATAATTATGTTCAGTTACACACTCAGTGTTTCGGGAATCCTTTTGCAGAAATGACTGCTTCAGTGCGGCGTGGCATGGAGGCAATCAGCCTGTGGCACTGCTGAGGTGTTATGGAGGCCCAGGATGCTTCAATAGCGGCCTTAAGCTCATCCAGAGTGTTGGGTCTTGTGTCTCTCAACTTTGTCTTCACATTATCCCACAGATTCTCTATGGGGTTCAGGTCAGGAGAGTTGGCAGGCCAGTTGAGCACAGTAATACCATGGTCAGTAAACCATTTACCAGTGGTTTTGGCACTGTGAGCAGGTGTCAGGTCGTGCTGAAAAATGAAATCTTCATCTCCATAAAGCTTTTCAGCAGATGGAAGCATGAAGTGCTCCAAAATCTCCTGATAGCTAGCTACACTGACCCTGCCCTTGATAAACCACAGTGGACCAACACCAGCAGCTGACATGGCACCCCAGACCATCACTGACTGTGGGTACTTGACACTGGACTTCAGGCATTTTGGCATTTCCCTCTGCCCAGTCTTCCTCTAGACTCTGGTACCTTGATTTCTGAATGACATGCAAAATTTGCTTTCATCTGAAAAAAGTACTTTGGACCACTGAGCAACAGTCCAGTGCTGCTTCTCTGCAGCCCAGGTCAGGCGTTTCTGCCGCTGTTTCTGGTTCAAAAGTGGTTTGTCCTGGGGAATACGGCACCTGTAGCCGGTTTCCTGCACACGCCTGTACACGGTGGCTCTGGATATTTCTACTTCAGACTCAGTCCACTGCTTCCGCAGGTCCTCCAAGGTCTGGAATCGGTCCTTCTCCACAATCTTCCTCAGGGTCCGGTCACCTCTTCTCGTTGTGCAGCGTTTTCTGCCACACTTTTTCCTTCCCACAGACTTCCCACTGAGGTGCCTTGATACAGCACTCTGGCAACAGCCTATTCGTTCTGATATTCATTTCTGTGTCTTACCCTCTTGCTTGAGGGTGTCAATGATGACCTTCTGGACAGCAGTCAGGTCGGCAGTCTTACCTATGATTGCGGTTTTGAGTAATGAACCAGGCTGGGAGTTTTCAAAAGCCTCAGGAATCTTTTGCAGGTATTTAGAGTTAATTAGTTGATTCAGATGATTAAGTTAATAGCTCGTTTAGAGAACCTTTTCATGACATGCACATTTTTTGAGATAGGAATGTTGGGTTTTCATGAGCTGTATGCCAAAATCATCAATATTAGAAACAATAAAAGGCTTGAACTACTTCAGTTTTGTGTAATGAATCTAATATATATGAAAGTCTAATGTTTATCAGTACATTACAGACGATAACGAACTTTATCACAATATGCAAACTTTTTGAGAAGGACCTGTACATGTCCATTAGCCCTGCAAGGCTATTTATGTTTATGTATTTAGCAGACGCGTTTGTCCAAAGCGACTTACAAGTGATAATCGGCATGTTGCCCTTGAGTCTAACAACAACAATAACAACAACTTGACATCAATCATGGAGAGGAGGGAACAACGGAGTGGACAGTAGAGAGGGGGGACGGGTGCAGGGAGGGTGCTAGTTTAGAAGATGCTCTCTGAAGAGCAGGGTCTTCGGGAGTTTCTTGAAAGTCGAAAAGGAAGCCCCTGTTCTGGTAGTGCTTGGTAGGTCATTCCACATTTGTGGAACGATGCATGAGAAGAGTCTGGATTGTCCTGAGCGTGGTGTAGGCACTGCTAGCCAACGATCCTGTGATGACCGGAGCGGCCGGGCCGAGACGTAAGCCTTTGCAAGAGGATTCAGGTAGATGGGAGCCATACCATCTCGGACTTTGTATGCTAGTATTAGCAATTTGAATTTGATGCGTGCAGCTAGCGGTAGCCAGTGGAGCTCAATGAACAGAGGGGTGACATGTGCTCTTTTTGGCCGATTGAAGACCAGACGCGCCGCTGCATTCTGGACCATTTGAAGAGGTCTCACAGTACAGCCTGGAAGACCAGTTAGAAGGGCATTGCAGTAATCGAGGCGGGAGATGACAGTAGATTGCACCAGGAGCTGGGTGGCATGTTGTGTTAGGTATGGTCTGATCTTTCGTATGTTATACAGCGCAAAGCGGCATGAACGAGCAATACTATTTGTGTGTGAGTGTGCAGCATGCGGCTTGACTTTGAGCTCCTTCCTGAAGGGGAGAGGGTGCAGGGGCATGACCTATTGACCCTTTGCATCCATGTCTTCTATGTCATCTGATCATGTGGGTCCGCCATGGTGGACATCAACATTAAATTACAGGAGTGTTGAACAGATGGCAAATGTAGTGACTGAGGTTGTATTAATTTACCGGTTTAGCCTGGTTTCTTCTAGTTCAAGCCCAGTTCACTTGTGAGAAGACTTAGCACCCCTAGGTGGGGCTCATAGAGTGGTAATTCCAAAAGTGTCAGCTAGCTTACAAACGTTAGCTTATTTCTCCCTGCTGCTGTGCTCACTGATTTGATGAAGTTGCCCGCTTAGCCAGAATTCACTCTGATGTTTTGTAACATTATGTGATAAACAGCGTTTCATTTTACACTGAGCTGATTTAAACAACACATTGAAAAGTCCAGATCCCTGCCAGATAGTGTGGCTGGCTGTGTCACCAGGACCAGCTGTTACTTTCACACAGTGGAGAAGACATCTCTTAATGGTGAAGCTCATCATACTAAAGAAATAAATTTGTTACAACCCGTTCTTAAAAGGGTGAAGACGGGTGCAACAGGTGGGTGCAAAGGTAAAGTAGCAGCACATTTATTTACAGGGAGGGTGGCAGTTGTTGAGAACACACTTAGGCTGTTTATCATTTAAACAAAGATACGCTAAACAAATGAATCCGAACTACAGCTGAAAATAACTCCGAAGGGAGAGAAAATCTGCAAACATGCGACCATGGGAAGTTAACTAATATTAACCAGAGGTGGCTCTAAGGCTATAATAACAAACTAACTAGGCACAATTGCTATTTTTACACAAAACCACAAAGCATTTCAGCTATTTCAACAAATCTAAGAAGCATTACCATCAACTAAAAAACTCTGACATGCATCTATTTCAACAACTCCACCAAGTCTTTCTGCCATTTGCACAACCTAAGAGGAGCTACGTCTATTTAAACAAAGTTTTTTTTTCTTTGCTGTAACAGAGCACCCTGGCCATCAGCACAGATCTGAGCCCCCTTTGCTACTGGCAGCCTCCGCCTTTCAAAGCTTCAGGTGTTGTCAGAAGATTGAAAGCTGCTGTGTCGGCTTCCTAAAAAAGGGTAGAAGCCCAAACTCGGCATACCGCTGTCCGTGGTGCTGAATCATAGGACAGCTGAAGCAGAGTTGATCTGCGGTATTGTCCATGGTGCTGAACCCCTGCTTCCAGAATGGACAGGCAGTGGCCATAACAAACTTCATTTTAATACACGTAGTCCAACATTGGATCAGTATTAGTATCTATCAATTCACTATAGTGGATATTAACGCACATCACCCATAGTGAAATATAGGATAATCAATCCTACATAAGTAATACAAACACATGACATTTATCATTTCACATCCATCACAGTCAGTCCCTTTCTTGCTCAGGAAACACATGAATGTTAATTTGAAATATGTTTGTTGCAAATCTGAAAATAATTTGATTGACAGCTGCTGTCCATTGCTGTTTTCAGTCTCCATCCAACTTGAGTTTCCACCCTTGTCTGTTCCAGCTGAACATGCAACAACTAATACCCTTTTACTGTGAAACCAAAGAAAAAGAAGCAAAATAAGGCTACAAACCAGCTTGCTTGCAAAAAGACGTTAACAGTTCCTTTGATGTCGATCATGGCAAATTAGTATTTCATTGAGTAGTGTGACGTCACTTGCAAAGGGTCAATAGCCATTCAAATTTCTAAACCTTGTCCTCTCCTTGATGATGACTGCCATTTTAAGAGCATTTTGCTTTGTCTACATTATTGTAACCATAAAGTCATTTAAGATAAATTTTTTATTTACAGATTAGTATTACTCCTTCATGCAGGTGTATTTAAATATTATAAAGATCTACATGTTATGTGATTTGGTGTGTTTCACTTTCAGCTTGTTCAAGCCTCCCTCCTTCGATTCAAGTGGAGATTCCCAGTTTTAGGACTGTGATGAAATCAGTGTCGGATGTTAAAGCTACGTGTTTGGTCCGCACCGCTTTTAATGCTATAGTCACCTGGCAGTTGGATGAGAACATCTTACCAAGGGACAGAGTGAATCAGGAAGCAAACACAACTCACACAGTCAGTCAAGTGATGGTTTCCTTGAGCCAGTGGAGGACCCTGAAGTCTGTAACATGCAGAGCAGAACACCAGTGCTTTCCACTCACCCAGGAAAGAGTACATCTTAGAAGTAAAACAATAAAACACAATAAAAATCACTTTTTTCACTGTAATAGAGAAACTGAACTAATCAATAAAATATTTTCTTGTTACCATCCAGGTCCTACAGTTAAAACTCCACAGGTGGAGCTCAGGAGATCCCTCTCAGACCTGCTGAAGGGAGACGATTTCGTCCTTCAGTGTGACATCACACAGCTCTCTTCACAGGACCTTTATGTCACATTTCAGGCTGAAGGAAATGATATTTCTGAGAAGATGTTCGTTGACCTTCCTGAAGGCCCAGACCCACATTCAGTCACTAGAAGTTTCTCTGTGCCTAAAGAATCCAGGAACAGCTCAAGATTCACCTGCTCAGTGACTCAAGGCTTCTCCAGCACATATTTTAGGTCTAATGAAATCAGCAATGTTCACGGTGAGAAATGACTTCAAGTCTGTTTGGGCTGAATGTTGGCTTCACTGATCAAAAAATGTGTCTTCTTTCTTTCACACATAATTTAGTGTCCCCCTCAGTAGAACTTGTTGTGGTCCCTGGTGAAGACGCAGGACAGCAGAGGCTCTTGTGCTTTGGATGGGGCTTCAACCCAAAGATGAAATGGTCCTCTGAGTCAAAGCCACTCTCTACTGACATGATCAGCATGGATACAAATGGACAAGTCACTGTAACAAGTCAACTGAATGTTCTTCAGGAAGAGTGGAAAACAGGAAAGGTCTTCACTTGTGAAGTGTCAGACGGGTCTCTGAACAAAAACGTTTACAAGAACATCAGTATCTGCTCAGGTAACCATGGCAACCTGAAAACAGTCATAGCCTCAGATGTTTGGTTAAAATACACGTGTGGAAGAAAAGTTCACTTGTAGACACGTTTCTCCTCTTTAACCTTGTGCTCATTTCCCAGTGACTTCAGCATCCTCTCAGAGAGTTGCCGTCTATCTTCAGGAACCACCATTAGAGCAGCTTCAGAAGAAGGGACAGCTGACTCTTACATGTCTACTTGTCGGCACTGATCTCAGTGGTTTCTCCATCACCTGGAGAGTAGCTGGTTCCAAATCTCCACAACGTAAAATGTGTATGAAGGGACCTGAGGGTCACAAAAATGGGACGGAGACTTGTTACAGTTTCCTTAATGTGTCATCAAAGGATTGGGACTCGTATAAGACAGTCTCGTGTGCGGTTAAACATCTCTGTTCCAGCAAGGTACATGAAGACTCCATCAGTAAAAGTACAGGTAATATTAAAAGTTCATTGTCCTCCACCACTGTTTTTGACTCAGATTTAAAGAAGGGTTTGTTTGTTTATTTGTTTAAAGTGGTACATCCACCAGTCGTGAGGATCATCCAACCAACTGCTGCTGAGCTGACCCTGTCTGACAGCATCGTGCTAACTTGTTTAGTTTCTGGGTTTTTCCCAGCAAACATCATTGTGCACTGGGAAGAAAATGGTCAAGAGCTTCCGTCTGTTCGCTACATTAACAGTCCTCCATGGGGAGAACAAGGAAGAGACTTTTATTCAATGAGAAGCAAACTAAATGTCACCAGAAGCCAGGACGAAAAGTCCACTTATGCCTGTATTGTCAGACATGAGTCATCTCAAACCCCAGTGAAAACCAGCATAAATGATGTGTTTGGTGAGCTAACAACAGATATTTTATTTTTGGTTGCACATCTTTCTTCTAACTTCATGACTTTCATCTGCAGCCTCAGTCACCTACGCCAAACCTACAGCTGTCCTGCTCCAGGGCTCTAATGAACTCGTGTGTCTGGTCTCTGGCTTCAGCCCGGCTTCCATTAACATCACCTGGTTTCGCAGTGAAACCACTAAACTGGAGAACTGCAACACAAGTGAGCCCCTCTTAGGTCCAGATGGGAAATTCAGCATCCAAAGCAACCTTCGTCTATCCCAGACCCTCTTCCTACCCGGGGTGGTTCTAACTTGCAGGGTGACTCATGAGAACATCACCTTGTCCCTCAACATATCCAAACCTGGTAGGTGTGACCATTTGTTCCTCAAAAAGGACTTTAATCCCTTAACTCATTCACTGTCAATGATGACTAAAGTCGTCATTTGCATTTTTTTACCGTGTGGGCGTCGGACGAGCCCCCGCACCGTGAGAACAAACATCTCCGCTCTAAAGCCGATCTTCATCCACATACCTCACACGTGACGTGATCAGGAAGCAGAACATCCATGTGTTAGGAGATTGTTTTGGGCCGCTGCTGTAAAAACAAGTGAGACGCGAACCGGAAAAGTGTCTGCCGATCACAATTCAACAACAGATGACAAAAGAACGGATAACGCTCGAAACGCGCAGATTCTTCTTGATGTAAGAGGTGAGTCTCCGCTTTGTTTTGGTTGTTTAGGCGTTGACATCATCCTAGCGCGCAACGTCCTGTCACTCTTAAAAAACAGTAAAAACGGTGAGAAACGCTGGCAGTGAATGAGTTAAAGTCCAAAGATGTCGTTGTCCATCTCTCACAGCAGCAAACTCATCTCAAGAGATCCTTTAAAACCTGTTTCTGCATCCTTTACAGACACGCTGGAGCACTGTAATCTATTTGATGACATCAGAGACGCTGATGTGAGCCAAGACACACTAAAGCAGACCTGGACTGTGGCTTTGACTTTTCTCATCTGTTTCTTCATCGCCACCATTTTCTCTGTCATCATCACCATCATTAAGGTAAGATTCAGCTTTAGTCTGCTCATCTTGTGGCATTGCAATCCATATAAACACTCCTAAATACTGATATTTATTTATTTATGTGTTTATTTTATTTCTTTTTTCATCTTAAAAGAAGCAGACGAGATGTTGACAGATGTCTCCTTCTTCTCTTTTCAGAATAAATAACGACAGCCACCAGAGAAATTTAACTTCTCTGGACAAAGACATTTTTAGATTTTTAAAGCATCTGAACTGGTTCACCTTCAAGTGTTTTTCAGTTTTTTATTCATTTTTTTGTGAAATTGTTTTGTTGCATTTCATTTAAGATTTAGTGTGATGTGTTAAAAAAATAATAAAGGCAATACATGAAGTTCAAGAATTTTGACAAAAATGTTGCTGTCATTCTTTTTTATGAGGTTAAAATAAAACATTTTGTAAGAATTAAGAACACATTTAGTAAAATTTACTCAAATAATTTAGTATTACTTGTAATACACATATTCTCCACAAGATGGAAACAAATCGTCACAAGCAGTTTCTGCAACCTTCAAGATCCTTTAAGATGAAAAGATCCTATTTGATGACCGAATGACAATATTGAGTTAATTTTATATCTGTGAATCATATTAAAGATCTCACTCTGAATAAAATAAGCAAATACAAACAGCTTATCACAATTTTAAAAATCCTGGCCTGGTTTGTTGGATGTTTAATTGAGAAATAATAAATTGTCTTAATGACAATTTAGGTTCTCTTAAAGGCAAATCTTTTGTCTTTTTCTAAAAGTCATCAAAATAAGTTGCTATAATTTTTGTTTTACACCTTGTTACAGTGTCTTTTCAAACACGCCATGAAATGCTAAACTGCACGATCATCCATTCAATTCAAAGCTTTACTGTTGTTTGAAAAGTAAGGAAACATTTTCTCTGTACAACAAGACTCTCACTTAGCTGCCCTCAATGGAAGCTAAACGTAGAAATTTAAATATAAACTTCATAATAAGATTGTCTGTATTTGGTTCTACAACTCCCCAAGGCGCTTTACAACATCCACCCATTAAGCTTTTGGTGATAAGCTACACTGTGGCCACAGCTGCCCTGAGGTGAGGCTGCCAAGCGCTGACACCACCGGTCACTGCAACCAGCAGGTAAGGTAGGTGAGGTTTCTTGCCCACGGACTCAAAACTGTGACAGGACTCGAACCTGCAACTCTTTGTTTACAGGGAGAGCACTAAACTCCTCTGCCACCATCAAGCCCTGTATAAAACTAAATGAACAAAGATAAACAGTATGGGGATGTAAACTATAAGGGCATTTTGGCTGCGTACGTATTTGTGCAAATGATGCGTTACATTAGCTGGTGTGTGCAACAGTCAGTAAAACAAGTATTTTACAGATGATGTGTAGATAATCCCAGCATCAGAAAAACGCATGGTAACAAAATAGTAATCAGTTTCAAAGCATCTAGCCTAAAACCTGTAGAAAAGATAGATTAATTTTGTGGATGTCAGGAAAAGGTCACTCTGTCTGGAAGCCTAATTAATAAAGTAACAAACAGGTTAACAAGTCATTAGAGTCAACATGTCTGTTAGAGTTGTCCAGTGATTTCAATAACATATAACTGCACTGTTTCTTAAAGATTTGATTAAATGTATGTTTGTAGATTATTCATTCAGTTTACACACAATTTACAAGATATCTAAGTTACAACTGAGGAGACATTTGAGCAAAAAGAGACGTTTTAGTGAGTCAAGCTGTAAGAACTGGCTTTCGTAAAACAGCCAGTTAACATCAATGGGGCCGTTATCTCATCTTCTGCTGGTTTCCAGATGCAAACTGGAGAAAGAAGCTGGAATTGAGAGACTGTTCTGACCTGAGCAAGCCTTTTATCAGAATCCCTGCAGCACTGCACAGGAACTGCACTGCAACCGTCTGCAGAGGCAAAGAGATAAAAAATAAAATATGCACATATTTTGCATTTTTCAGCACCCTCTACCATTAAGATCTGATTCCTGCCTCTCCATCCACTTCTTCTTGGAGTCCCTTTGTTCAGGATGTTATCTGGAAAAGTTCTTTGCCTCAACAGGGTATCTGCAGGTTTAAGGGAGCCAAATTTAAGACTTTTTAAGACCTTTTTTTAAGGCCACTTTGACCAAATTTAAGCTATTTTTAAAATTAAATTTAAGCTATAATTTCCAGCTATTGCCTGGAACCGGTGCTAACCACGTCGTGAACGTGGGATTAGCCATCCAGTTACCATTAGACTTGCACTTCCCCATGGCGCAAGCTCCCACTAGCTTAACCAGCTAATGTGCTCATCTAAAAACAGCCCCCTTTCACAACCACCTGAATGTGTACGGTTCCGCTTACGCCAACATCGTACACAAAAAATGCTGAACACCAACTAGAAATTCACAAACATTTTTATAGAAATAAAATAATCTTGTTTATTGGATCTTTGGTAATTTAAGACCTTTGGAAACTGGATTTAAGGATTATTTGTCATTTTTAAGGATTTTCAAGGCCTTAAATTTGGAAAAGCAAATTTAAGACTTTTTAAGACTTTTTAAGGACCCGCGGATACCCTGCTCAAACGTTTCCTCTTTTAAAAAGCTGAACGTCTTTCAGATGTGTGGCATGGATGTTTCCTGCACTTTTTGTGGCCTTTGCTCAGTTGATCCCAGAGCAGAATAACTTTGATCAAACAACTAGAGATTCACCGAGAAGTGAAAAATGAAAGCAGGGAAACTTTCCAGCAGCTCCAGTTACAACTTCGATTTTATTCAACCGTACCAGTTACTTAAAAGCAGTTCACACACCTCCAGAGGTGGAATCAAGTCAGTATCCCACCTCTGGACCCTACACCTCTGGTCTAACAGAGGTAGTCACAGAGCTGTGTAGGCGAGTGTGCAGTGGGAGACAGGATGTCTAGTGATTTTATTAGAGACCCATGAGAAAGAAATTCTGGATTCAAACAAAGTTTTTATTCTATTGCAATAAGAAGCATACAGAGCAATGCTAAGATCTATAGTAACAAAGACGACGTTATTCTAAGTGACACGACAACAGTCAGTAAATGACCCCAAACCACTACTACACATTTAAAGGTGAATACATGTAAAACAGTCTTCACACACAAAGTGGTAAGAGTTCTAAACTAATTATAATGGAAAAAAGGAAATGTAGTTAAAGATATTTAGAAAATAATAAACTAAATTGCTTCAACAGGAAATCAAAGAGGCTTTGTGAGAACATTTAGATGAAAAATTTCAGCACCTGATCTACAGTATACAGTTAAAACCTATAAGGTACTACATGTTTATCACCAAGTATTACTTTTTCTCGTTTCATAATCTATGGAAAACACAGAATTTTCCATCAGCTAAAACATAAATCTCAATGTGAAACAGTGAATGAAGTTATCCTAATTATTAATCTAATATGTATTTGCCTACATCTAAAGAAGACCATAACCTTAAGTTTGAAAACTGAGTCTTACACTAGGTCATGTTATTATCTAAACTAAACATTAAACACCAACTCAACCCCAGATGGGATGTAGATGATATCTTTAAGAGCACAAAACATTTGTCACCTCTATTTTTACATAGTCAATTTTCAAAGCATGAGACCACACACAGTTATAAAAAGTATACCTGTGGTGCTGTGTGTAATGTGCAGCAACTCGACAAATACTACACACTTTCACTAACGGATATTTGCCGCTCAAATGGCAAACCTCACAAGATAAAAAGAGCCTTCAATGAAAAGAAACGCGACAGTGCATGAGCATGTGGTGCACGTCTGTCACCTCGCTTTGACTGGCTAGATCTTACATTAACGGGCAGCATGTTTGTCCACAAAAATCAGTAATTTAGGGTCAGAATGATCCTCCAGAGCAGACCAGAGTACTCATTACACACCACATAATGTAGGATGATCTAAAACGGTCTGCAGAGCCGTAGCTTGTAATTGTGCACATCCTTAAAAATGTTAAGAGCTGGTCAACAATCGACAAGATTATCCTGCGATGTGAAACGGGAATAAACAGACCGCATCTTTCTGCTTCACTGGGTTTGGGACTCACTTCCTTAGGTCTGTCTAAAACAGTGCCCTTTGAAGTCCTTACTGACCCCTGTCAACGAGTAGACCAACACCCTCGGTCAGAATCATACCATTTAATCCTCACATACCCTTGGAACACCTCCGTGTTAGGTCTGGGCGATATGGCCTAAAATATCACGACTTATTGAGGATTTCACCTCGATAACGATAAATGGGTGATAAATAAGGTATGCGCAGAAACAAAAGTTATCCACTACATGGGGCTGTTGCATGTATTAGTTGTGTCACGTTTTTATGTGACTCAAGGTGGTACAGCTTCTTAAAGGGGCATGAACATCGCCAACCTCCACACATCTTGTCATTTTTTTATTATCAAACATGGGAAAAATTATCACAATAAGTCAGAAATTTCGATTACGAGAAATTTTCGATTTATTGCCCAGCCCTTCTCCATGTCATTGAAACGTCTCCACAGGAGGACAGGTGACACCAGGCTGTTGGCCAGTAACCTTAATGCAGATATCTCGCATAAAGCGGGACAATGGATCATCCAAACTAAGGCCAATCCAGGCTAAACTCCACTGGCTAAACAAATAAAGAGATGTGTACATGTATTAACGCAACTCAAGGTAGAAACCACTGGAAAAAGACAAGTACGTCTACACCACACAAACTATTAAGTGGCAAAGAATACATGCTGCGATTAGTGCTGCCACGATTAGTTGATACGTTATGAAGTTGACAAACAAAATAGTCAACTATAGATTTATTAGTCATTTATTCTATGAGCTATTTTTTCTCTCTCTCTCTCTCTTGCTGCGGCACCTTCAGCGGCTGCTTTCTGCCTTACTGCTCAAGGCACATGTGTAGAAGTAGCCATCTGGGTCAGCCTTTGATCAGAATCACCGGAGAAAGAAGACATCATGGCGAGTGGGCAACATAGCTCAAAGGTTTGGGAGCATTTTACAAATACAAAAGAGAAGCACGTACGGTGCAAAATGTGCAAAGTGAAACTCTGCTTTCTCTGCAGCACATGGGCGATGTACAAGCACCTTAAATGGTGGAGAATGAAGAGTCACCTCTGTAACCCTATTAATTCTAGCTGCCAACATCAACAGTTACTTGTTTTCTTAGGTGTAGCAACAATAGTAGTGATGGTGATTGTGTTACAAGAACACGTTTGCATGTCACATATTTGCTCTGTTACAAATGCTAATGATTTATTTTATCCTGCTAAGTTAGTGTTAAAAAAATAAGCACTCCTCTTCAATGGACGAGTTTGTTAAAATGCCAAAAATGAATATTTTAGCTAGATACATTGTGAGCAGATCATTTTTGTGTAAAATTTATTCTTGGTTTTAGGTGCCTACCTCCATTTAACTGTGTACCATTTGTATTAGCAGGTTACAAAGTTAATTAAAAGTTATTTGATAAACTATCATCTTGTTTTTATTTTAGATGGCACATAACTGATAAAACTTCAAACTAGAAGCAAATTATGTGTATTAGAGCATCCTGGTGCAGTTAGCTACACTTTTATACATGACACGATTTGTTGACTAATCTTCAACAAAACTGGCGATTAGTCGACTATTAAAATAGTTGTTTTTGGCAGCCCTAGCCACGATAAATGCTGCTAAATTCCAAAGGGGAAACCTAAGGACAGCAGCTCAGGCTGCACAACATCATTGAGTAATGATGAAAGACACAAACAATTATATGCCACCTTTTGTTAGACAAGGGGATTTTGTGAAAAATTTACAATTTGGGGGCCACAATATGTGGCTTGAGGGACAGAAAGAAGTGGCTCTGATCTAGGGTAAAGGAAAAGACGCCAAAGGAACGAGACTGCAAAACTACATAGCCCCCTTTGGGTACTCTTCAAGTTCAAGAAGTTCCTTTTGTCCTGTGTGGACTCTCATGTGTCTGTTTAAACTTGGTCTATGACTAAATCTTTGTTCACATAGCTCACAGGAAAAAGGCTTCTGTCCTGTGTGAACACCCATGTGACGATTTAAACTTGTCTTTTGGCTAAAATTTTGTCCACAGAGCTCACAAGCAAAAGGCTTCTGTCCTGTGTGGATTATCATGTGTCTGCTTAAACTTGTTTTATGACTAAATTTCTGTTCACAAATGTTACAGGTAAAAGGCTTCTGTCCTGTGTGGACACTCATGTGACTGTTTAAATATGTCTTCTGACTAAATCTTTGTCCACAAATCTCACAGGGAAAAGGCTTCTGTCCTGTGTGGACACTCATGTGACTGTTTAAATAAGTCTTATTACTAAGTTTTTGTCCACAGATATCGCATTCAAAAGGTTTCTCTCCTGTGTGGACTGTGATATGACGGTTTAAACTAGTTTTTTGGCTAAATCTTTGTCCACAAAACTCACACTCAAAAGGCTTCTGTCCGGTGTGAACTCTAATGTGTCTGTTTACACTTGTTTTATGACTAAATGTTAGTCCACAGAACTCACAAGCAAAGGGCTTCTGTCCTGTGTGGACCCTCAAATGACTCTTTAAATTTGTGTTATGACTAAATCTTAGTTCGCAGAACTCACAAGAAAAAGGCTTCTGTCCTGTGTGGACCCTCATGTGACTCTTTAAATTTGTCTTGTGATTAAATACTTTTCCACACTCGTCACAACTAAATGATTTTAGTTGTGTCTGAACTTTCTTGCATGAGTCTACATGCTGCTCAACGCCAACACACTTCTCATAAACCAAATACTCTGAAGACCATTCGGCTGAATGACCTGTCACTCTCGTATGTTTCTGGAGAGACCACTCGTGGAGAAATTTTTTACCACACTCAGGGCAGCTAAAGAATTTGTTGACAGGCTTAACATCTGATGCAGAAGACCTGCTCTCATTCCCGTCATTGTTTTCATCTCCAGTTTCAGGCCCAGGACCTAACAGCTCGGTGTCTAGATTCACATCATCCTCTTCAGCTCCACTACCTTCAGTCTCAGAATCAGTGGTTTGTTGATGATGGTTCACATCTGGGTTATGGCTAGTTTCTGCTCCTCTGCCAGGTTCTGCTGTCATCTGGACAGCTGAGCTACTGCTTGGAACATCTCTGTCTTCTATTTGCTGCTCATGAAGCTGTGAGAACAGAGGTTTCTCTTCATCATATTCACTCTTTATACAAACTGTGGTGAAGGGAAATCTGGCAGGATCAGTCTCCTCATCCTTCAATTGGATCTGCTCTCCCTCCAAACTGGTCCTGACTTCCTCCTGTTCTTCCTTTATGTGGAGGTGATCTGGGTCCTGTAGATCAACACTGGCACTCTGTTCTTCAGGAGGTTCTTCTTTAATCAGCACCATTTTTAGAAGATCTGTAGGGACACACAAAAATACATGATGTGAATTATTGTCCGCTACAACTTTATATTCACACCTACAACAGTTGTATTATTGGTTTATGTTGGTGAGATCAGAACTGACCTAGAAAACAGGACAAACCTTAATTCAATTACTTTTTAATTCGAGTTTAAAATTTAAAGATTTTAAAACATGAGGGCCTGATAGAATTAATCTAATTGTTCTAACATGTTGGCAGTCTGAAATATTGATTTTAAGTATTTATTTCTCACGGAGTTCCACAAAAAAAAAAAAAAAAAAGATCAAAACTTCTAATTTGAGACTCGAGCTATAGTTCCAGACTGTGGAATTATCAATGTACTACAGGATTCATGTTGTAAATCTCCTACTACACTGTAAAACTGAATAGTTGACATGACTTGTTTTAGATAAGTTACCAATACAAATTTGGACTAAGTTTTGAGATTTAAATTATTAGATTATGAATTAAATGTAACAGACCAAGAAGTGTACATGTTACCATTTTTCTGAGGGACTTTTACACGGTGTAAGTTACAATTAACAAATTTGAACATAACTGAACTTGATAATGTGCAAGTTGCACAGGGTTCAAATTCACCTGCTGTAAAAAAGTACTTTGCACAGTAAAATGCAATACATTGTATTAGTTAACATTTGCCTTTTTTTTTTTTTTTTTTTTTTTTACCGTGTCATGTCTGGCTGTGAAGCAAACAGAATTGATGTCTGAATGCTGGTAACAAGCCTTACAGATTTACACTCAGGTGGAGCATCAAAGTGTCTACTTTTAATGTCACGCCTGATACTTAAAACTTTATTGTTATTGTTTTTGAATGCTTGTAATTCCGACCAGACACGCAGTCAGAGGTGAAAGAGAAAAGAAAAGACAAAAGGTGGGGAGAGAGGGGGGAAGGGGGAGGGGGTGGGGGGTCCACAAAAAAAAACAATAATGAACAAGAGTCTGCATCTAGACCTGCAGAAAGAGACAAGGAAAAAAAGCAACAAACAAGATCAAGTTATCACTGCGTCAACTTGATGAAGAAATATATAATCAACATTGTTTAACTGAACAGTCACGCGATAATAAATCACAGTGCATTAAGTGCCCACCGTAGTCTTAAGACATGTGTTGAACGTGCCCAAGCCCATACTTTTGAGAGCACTATGTGAGCACCTGTGTGTGTACATGCGCTTGCTTATGTAAGGTTTCTCTATAGGAGCGTCTGAGGGACAACAGATCTGCCCCCCAAAGACGCGTAGGAGACAGGGGAGCTCCAAGTCCCCGAGATCCAGGCACTGCCCTAGAACACAGGAACCCCAAGGAGACTGCAACCAGAAAGGCCCCCGCCCCCCTCGAGGGGCACAGAGGATCGCCCCAGGGGGCCACAACCAGCAGCCGGCAGAATCCTGGGAGATATCTGCGGCAAGCCCACAGGCCCGCCCGCAGCCTCCCACCCCCTAGCCGGCTGAGCCCGGAACCCAGGGGCGACCACCACCGCCGGGGACCCAGCAGAGCCCAGGGACCCAGACCCCACCAGGCAGCCACCGGGACTGATCAGGCAGACGCCAAAAATCTTAAACCCCCTGACCCGGGAGCCACGAACACCCAGGCAGACCAAGGCACCACACCCCACACAAGGTGTGGCAGGGGGAGGGGAGACGAAGATCTATATCATCAAAAGAAGTCCCAGGAGAGGGGAGGAGTCAAAGGCCCCACCTGACAAACAGTCATACACATGCTCACACATGCACATACAACCAAAGACTTAAAAAAAAATGCACGCCGGACACCCACTCATGCTCCCCATACACACCCTATTCACTCTGGTCCCGGTACTGCTGCACATGGGGTACAACCATCACCGGTTACCAGAGTTGGACCCTTTCTGCTGGGGTGCTGATGAGCAGGCTCCCCCGCCCAACGCTGAGCACAGCAACCCACCACCCCAGACCCCAACCAAACGGCCAGATCTCCCTCCTAGCCTCCAGCCCCAGGAAGCCAAGCAACAACAGAGGTGTGCTAAGACCCCTAGTCTCCCTCCACCTGCTCCAATATAGTGTTGTGTGTTGATGAGGTGTATTCCATGGCTGTGGTGAGCGGGCAGTGTGGGCATTGTCTGGCCTATGCCAGCTGATGCCACCGCACCACCCCACTTGCAGCCACCGCCCTCGGTGCCTAAGTGCAGTTTAAAATTGGAAGTGGGCACCGGCACTTAGGAGGAGGCTGAGAAAGTCCCCCGCCAAGTGCCGTTGAATGTGCTCACTCCCAAGGCCCTAAGTGTGTGTTTGCGTGGAATGTCGTCGGTGGAAGTGTATAAGGTGCAAATAAAATTGGGGGGCAGGCTGCCACAGGAATGCAGAAATGGGGTCTATACCCACACTCCCTGACTTGTCCACCCCCCAAGGTCCTATGTGCATGTTTGTGTGATGATGTGAGGGAGCAGGAGGAGAGAAATATGCGGGGATGGGGAGGAATGGCTAGTTGGGCTTAGCCCTCCAGGGAGCCAGCTCCCCCACTGGCCCCAATAGGCACCTCTGTTGTCAAACTGCCCCCCAGTGCATGGAGACCCCAGCCCATCCTGCCAGGGCCCAAAGCAGCAGCATTACAGAGTCTCACGGAGTCCGAAGGCACCAACCCAGCCCCACCCCAGCAGAATATCTATGCCCATCCCTGCATTTGCACAACTTCCAGAATATATAAGACATAGGACATCCAGGTAAGGTAGGGTCCTCCCCCTCCTGGACCTCCCCCTCCCCTGTGATGGGACAGCAGAGGAGCCAAGGTCTACCCGAGGCCCCTGAACCCGGGTCAGGCACTGCTGCATGTTCCTGCCTTCTTCCCGGCAGCATACATGTCAGGACCCGACCCCCAAGGCCCCGCCCAGACCCCCACACGGGGCCAGCCAACCCAACACCCCGAGGCCCCACCCAGGGGCAATGCAGCTGCCAGGCAGTGACACATGGCTGCCGCCAAGACCTCCAAGGGGCCCCACTCACAACCACTACAACAAGTAGTCCACCCCCCGAGGCAACCCAAGCACCTCCAGAGGGGGGCCCCCCCCCGTGAACTCACCCTCAGGGAACATCCGGATACTCCAAACTCAGGACCCCCCCCCCCCCCAGTTTTTGTGTTCATCCGTTTAGCCTTATTCCAGCCCTTTTGCGCTGCGCTCTTTGTTTATTAGACATCGTTTTATTAGTTAGAAATTCCTTTTGTTATTGATTCCCAGTCTTGGATGACCTTTTTGTTTCCTTTTCAGCCCAGAGCTTAGTTTGAGTTAATAAATTTCCTTCTAAGAGTTTTAAACTCAGTTTGTTTCATTCCAGTACAAAATCTTCTTTACTCCCTCAAACACCATCGTGCTCCTAGCGAAGCCACGGGACGTAAAAGCGATGCATATGACAATCAGAACCACGTGAACCAAAGATGTTTCAATCGGGACATCGTCCAGGTTTCCCAGTAAACAAAGAGAGGGGGTGGTTGGGATATGACATTTCAGAGACTTTGACAGGTCTTCACATACTCTACCCCAAAATTCCTAGACAGGTGGACAGGACCACATTGCATGAATGTAATTGTCAGGAATGTTGTTTGTGCAGTGTGTACAGATGTCAGACGACACAACCCCCATCTTGAACATCCGATAACCTGTATAGTGTACTCTGTGTAGAATTTTGTACTGAATTAATTGTAAATTGGAGTGTCTGATCATTTTAAAAGTTTTTAAACAAGTTTGGGACCAGAAGTTCTGGTCAAAGCTGACTAATAGATCCACCTCCCATTTTTCAATAGGGATTGCCATTCTATCGTCTATTTTGGACAGTGTCTTATAAACTTTAGACAGTAGTTTGGGGGATTTGAGATTATAGAAGTCTAATACCCTTGGTGGTGTTTGTAATTCTATTTTATTGAGCTTAAATTTTTGTTTGACTACAGATTTAATTTGGTGGTATTCTAAAAAGCTATTCTTATAGCTATTCTTCTTCCAAATTGGGAGACTATTCTATTAAATGGGATGAAGTCTAATCCTTCATATATGTGTTCAAGGTATAGGATTCCTTTATTTTTCCAGTCCGGAAGGTTCATCATTTTATTATTTTGCAAAATATCAGGATTATTCCAGATAGGTGTGCGTCTGCATGGTACTAGTGAAGACTCTGTCATTTTAAGATACTCCCACCATGCTGTCAGAGAGGTGCTGATACTAATACTTTTGAAGCCTTCATGTTTTCTTATGCTTGAGCTAATAAATGGTAAGCCTGAAAGCTCTATCGTATTGCAAAGTGTCTGTTCTATGTCTAACCAAGACTCATCTAGTGGGTTATCTTGCAACTATCGTGGTATATATTGCAGCCTGTTGGCTAAGAAATAATAATAAAAGTTGGGTAAATCCAGTCCTCCTCTGTCTTTGGTCTTCTGAAGCATTTTTAAGCTAATTCGTGGAGGTTTATCCTGCCAAAGGAATTTGGTAATTGAGGAGTCCAGAGATCTAAACCAGTCAGCTGGTGGTTTGTTTGGGATCATTGAAAATAAGTAATTTATTCTGGGTAATTGTAGCAACCCTCCCCATGAGTGATATCGGTAAGGATTTCCATCTTGCAAGATCATCTTCCACTTTCTTTAAAAGTGGGATGTAGTTTAGTTTGGTTAGATCTGCTAACTTGGGAGAGACATTAATTCCCAGGTATGTGATATTCCATGACTCCAATTGTGTATTAAGTAAATTGACAGAAGAGAAATTAATTGGAAGAACTGTGGATTTTAACCAGTTTATAGAGTAATCTGAAACTTTTGAAAAAGAGTTTATCATTTCCATTGAATGAGAGAGAGATGAGAATTCCGGAGAAAGAGTAAAACATCATCTGCATAAAGACTGATCTTTTGTTCTATTTTCTTACACTTTATCCCTTTAATACCTGTTGTTTGCCTAATTGCTGCTGCTAGTGGTTCAATAAAGATAGCAAACAGTGAGGGGGAGAGTGGGCATCCCTGCCT